TCCTCTCTGAACTAGATGGAGACGGACTGCTCTCCGTATCCATGCTCCCGTAATCCAAGGGCTGCACTTTGCTCCCCACTACACTCATGGTCCCTTCTGAAGACATATACTCAATTTCTGCATAAAGTAGGAGGAGGAACGAGGTCAGGACCCTTACATATTCTAATACACTCCATATATTCTCACTCCCAACCCTAATTTCCTTCAAAAAACACAAAATCAAACACAGAAAGGGAGGAAGGAGGATAGCATTTCGGCAAAATCGAACTCACAAATCACAAATCGAACTCACAGATCAAAAATCGAACTCCAAAATTCAAAGTCGAAGTTAAAAATTTGTAAATTTTACCTGATTTTGATCTTGGAAACTGTTGTTGAAGTCTTGATCGAAGCGCAAACCACACAAAAACCGCAGAAATTTAGTAGAAATTTAGAAAGAGTTTAGTCGCAAAATAATGAGAGTAAAAAAGTCCCCTTTTACAGAAGTGTAGCCTTTTATACCAAAGGCAAAATACACCCCAACGGCTATGATTAACTCAATCTAACGGCTGCAGAAACACCATTTCGAATTTGACGGTTAACCATTAAACGACACCGTTTCGAACTCGACGGTTCGCTTTTCGAATCTACCCGTTAGACTGTTGCAGTTATCTTTTTACAGCGGCATTTATTACGCACGTCATTCAGAGAACAGCTATCGCGTCACGTGCCGCGTCTTACTCAGACTTCTCAGACGGGCCCACTTAAGCCCATTTCAACACTCTTTTCCACTTTTGTACATCTTAAATTTTGGCAAGTGTTTCACTTCGGCAACCAACCTGATGGCTCCGGCCACAATGACTCAGTGTCACACGTTTTACTTCGGCTACGGCCACAGTGACTCAGTGTCACATGTTTTACTTCGGCTACGGCCACAGTGACTCAGTGTCACATGTTTTACTTCGGCTACGGCCACAGTGACTCAGTGTCACATATTTTACTTCGGCTCCGGCCACAGTGACTCCGTGTCACATATTTTACTTCGGCTCCGGCCACAGTGACTTCGGCTCACACGTTTTACTTCGGCCACGGCCACAGTGACCCAGTGTCACATATTTTACTTCGGCTCCGGCCACAATGACCCAGTGTCACCCGATTTACTTCGGCTCCGGCCACAGTGATCCAGAGTCAGTTGTCTTACTTCGGCTCCGGTCACAGTGACTCAGTGTCATGTGCTTTGCTTTGCCTACGATCACCATTACTTTTTATTATGACTCATAACTAAATATTGCCTATGGTCATCTATACATGTAAAATCACGGATTTTTATTTCCATTACCCATCTTTATCTCTCTTTCTTCCTCTTTATGCACTACCCCTATCACTTCCAACAATATCATTCCCAAGTGAATGACTTCGGAGGGGGGGGTGTAAGAGTAGGTCCAGGGTGCCCCACTAGAATAGCTACACGGCAG